ATGTCATTATCCAGAGATAGAAAAGCAACCTGGCAGTCTTAGCCAATGACCTCTAATCACCGTGGCTCTAGAATCTAGACGAGTGCTGACTCAAGGCTAACGCTTTCTATGCAGAAGCTGTTGTCCTCCTTCAGTTCTTCTTCAACAGCAGCGAGGCCAGCTGCTGTCAACGGTGTAAAGCCGTTATCCATGCCTGGTTCGAAATAAGCAGGAACGAACCTGTTGAATGTATTAGCAAACCTGTTCACTTCCGTGGAAGGGGAAAAAAACATACTCTACACCCTTCTTCCTCCTCTCAGCTGCCTCATCTCTCTGCCTCTGCTCAATCGTGACCTTCTCCTTGGTCGCTTCTGAGTACTCCTTCTTCAGAAGATTGCTTGTCACGGGCTTCCACAGATTTCTACTCTCTCTCGGTCCCTGCTTTTCCAAACGCCTCACCACCTTTGGCAGAATCTCCAGCGTCGACAAATCGATCAACGTCGCATACTCTTCATCCCCCTCCCCATAACGCACATCGGATTTCGACTTTGACGCACTGCGAATAGAAGGAGTAGGAAGCTTTGCGTGCGAAGGGTTGGGCGAAGATGAAGTAGATCGCGTAACTCCGTCATGATGAGTCGTCGGGTAGGATCCTGTGCCCACTCGTTTCCATTTTATCTTGCCCTTCCATGTGCCATCGAAGATGGCGACGACACGATTCTGGGGGACGTGCTTGACTTTGGTCCATTCTGAGCACTGGTCCTCGTCTGAATCGAATACGGTGTGAATGACGCCGTCCAGAAGGAAATGGGCTCGACCAAGCCATGACTATTCACAAACCCAAGCCAAAAATATGTCAGTTGATCTCCTCCGGTCGCAATTGCGCAGATCCGACGCCAAAAAAGAAACATACCTCTTCTTTATACTCGATGATAGTCCTAAACTTGTGACCCGGTTTGCCACCTTCGCATGTGATGATAGTCGAGTCCCCTATCGTGACGTAGAAGCTACCCCTGAGAATACCATTCACAGAGGCAACAGGGTGCGTGATGTGGTATTTCTCTCCCTCTCCATGCCCTCCCGTGATGTTGATATAGATGCCCTGGTTGTATTGACCAGGCGCGACACGGAGGGTGGTACCAGAGACCTTTGCAGCGATCTGATCAATGCCACACAGTTCGAGCGATCGGCTTGGACATGACGCATAGTATGCAGACACAGGGGGATGATGGGATACTTGCTCCGTCAGATAGACGACCCGAACCGCTTCATCGTTCTTGGCACTGTTGGTACCACCGGAGTTTAGGTTCAGGTTGGAGACTTGGGCAGCTAGATCGGTGTCTGCGAGCTGTTGTGGGGATGTCGCAGCAGTGGACGTGCTCTTTGGCTTGGACAGGGAGCTTACACCACTTCGTATGCTCTTTGAGCTTCGACCGCTCTTGACGCTTGCTGTTTCTGATGGTCCTTCCGAGTCCTCATCGTCGGAGTCTTCGAGTTTGTAGGGGTTGGGGACAACGTCCCAGTGGGCACGGAAATGCTCTCCTAAAACGGAATTGTAGGGTTTACAAACTTTACCATGCTAAATCCACCATTAGAGGGTGCACTTTGAATGCCAAGAGAACGACTCAACGACGAATTTGAGGTCCTTGGTAAACGTAAACCGAAGCACAGACAACATGCGTAGGAAGGGGTCATCAAAGTCGTTGATGCTGCATGGTTCGATTTTTCGGAAATGAAAGCCAGGAAGACGATAACCAATCAGATATGGATACATAAAATAGTGAAGCGAAGACGGAAGCGTACGCAGCAAATATGTCTGGTCGGTCAAGATAGTGCCAATACTCGAGGTTGGGTAGAGGCTCCAGCAATGACGCTGGCAAGGATAATCGCCTGCATAAACCAAATAATATTCATCGTCTCATCACCCTCTATTGAATTTAAACTATGGAAGACGTACATAGCAGCAATGTCCTTCACCCCCAAGGATTTCTTAACAAGCTGCACAATCATCTTGAGCTTGCCGCCTTCGCCTTGATCTCCATTGTCCGCAACGGAGATGGGAGGTCCAGGTGCATCATCGTCGTGAGTATCGTGTGCAGCGCTCATGATGTTGGCGTAATATAATACTTAGAGTTAAGAAAAGTAGCAGAAGGAAAAGAAGCAAAGGTGGTGGTGGTTTAAGAGCAAACCACAAACGTGGATTCAGGTTCATCCAATTCGGGTTTCCATACCTGATGACTCCCTCCACGTGAAACCTACTTGTGTCGACATCTCTCACTCAACTCTCGTGAAATAATTCATTTAAAATTCAGAAAAAAATCCATCCTTAAAATGTCATGTTTGAAGTGTTTAGATTGAAATTTTGACAGTGATAGAGGCAGTAATGACTACTCCGCACTAACCACCTATTGCGGAGAACATCATATTGGCACTGGTGATGCAAGCATTCTTGTATTTCTCTTATCTACAGAACATCACGAGTCTAAAGGCCCAGAGGAATTACATGCCATGCTCTGATTCAGCCTGGTTCTGGGGATCAATTACCAGCGTGGTTTTCTATATACCGCCGGAGAAATGCTCCCAAAGACTACGTCTTATGACGCCCCAAAGGTATTCCGTTAATTAAGCTCGTGAATCACAGGGAAGCTTTATTGGAGAAGTATGAACCTCTTCGATTGTTCTATTTATCTGAAGTTATCGACATACCTTCTGCGCCATTTTTAATACAAGTTAAATCCTTATCGCATCCACTCTAAATTGCCTGGAGGTGAAGGTAGACCTGGACCCCTATTCAGTCCACAGAAAATTCTAGCAGTGGTGCTGTCCCAAGAGTTCATGCAAATTACGTATCTTCCACCATGTAGCTCACTGTGTAACAGGTCACCCGACATACTCATACTGACACAACCCCAATAATAATCCAGTTCCACGTCAACCACAAACGTTCGTCTGAACATTCATAGCCAACTCACCGTGGTTTCCACCCTGACAGTTTCTTGATCTCGACGACAAAAGTTATATTTCCAGCCTCCGGGTTCTTTACAACCAGCCTTGGTGCAAGCTTCCCAAGCCCACGACGTCATCCTTCCTCCCCACCGGCACGTACGGTCCAGTCAGTATTCTACATACCGGAGCTAATGACTATTCAGTCAATTGAATGTAACCCGGCAAAGGAATGAATTCAAAGCTGAATGGGCTCATGATATTATCATTGGTCCTTCCGTAGTCCTACTTACTCATACAGATTCTCCCCTAGACACCCTGCATTTGCACCTCCAGCAACTCCACACACATTAATTAATAATCCAATGATCACTGGGCTTAACCCCCTGCTGCAGCATCATATCGATCGCCATCCTAGCACTCAACAATAGCTTGCCCTCAGGCTGCACGACTGCCCCTTCTCCATCCTTGACTTCCGGCTCAAAGCCCATGCCTGCACCTTTAAACATGCCCGCGATGTTTTCATCCTTCCTGACCGCGTCGCCTTCGCGCTTTTCATCTGCCCACCACTGTGACGCCTTATCGTGCATCGAAGTCTTGGAAGAATCTTCTCCATCGCCTTGATCTCTCATAATAGCCGCATGTGTGTACTTCAACAGCTGCAACGTAGGCACGAGATGACCCAGTGTCTGCATTGTCATGTTCGTCACTTGGTTCAGTGTCGCTTTGGGTGGAATCATGGATTCTTGGCCTTGTAGCTTGTATTGAGGGCCTGGGATGTTGATATTGACGGGGGGTGGGGGACCAGGCATGAAGGCACCGATGATGGGGATATTGTGGAGTCCCAGATATGGGGCGGAGTATACCACCAGAGGAACAACAAGGAAGAGGGTATAGCGGAGTTGGACGAAGTAATCGTGCCACTACAATAAGAGAAAGGAACAGCAGCTAAGGTGAGCAAACAAAGTACGGGATAAAATACTGGGGAGTCAACGTACCATCGTTGTGACCATGTTGGCGTTGGTGGCAATGGGGGCAGGGACCGTCAATGTCCAGTAAAATTCGGTCAATAGTGCAGCAAGGAGTGCACCCAACCCAAGAGGTCTGAAGTGCTCAGCGTCGGATTTTGGAAGCGTCAACATCTGCAAGTCATAATAATAATTCAGGGTTACAAACTCATAGTCTTACAAGCACTGGACTTACCCCGACAAACGCAATTTCACGAATATACTGCACCAAAGGTCCTGGTAACGCATAAAGCGCGAAATCCTCAAAAGAGTGGCAATAAGCACAACTCGAGAGCACATCATGACCAAATCTATCAAATAAACCGCGCCTCTCAATTAGTGTCGTCAGAAACAAGTAAAACTCAAGGTGAACGTACCGAATATACAAACTCCTCATGTCAATCAATCCAAGCCTCTTCAACAATATTTCCAGCTGCGCCGGTATATTCTCGACTCCACCCAGACTCTCAGCCAACTTCGCCTTCAACACCTCCGGGGGCGCACTCGAATGAACACCAAGCGCTTTAAAGATGTTGGTAGGTGGGCTAACAAACAAATTATAAAGCATAGCAATGGTATGCAACAGCAACCCAATTGAAATAGCGCGTTCAACTTTAGAAGTGCTAGGCTTGTCTTCGGAGAACGGTCGGAAGACTTTGTACAACCACGGTGTGCCGATAATGAGTGCGAGCGCTACAAAGTTGTCAAGAGAGAGTTGCGGGAGTTCCATCTTAAAGAAAGGTTTTTTTTTGTTGATACTAGCTAGAGCGCGCCGTGGCTAGGTTTAAGGTCTGTTCAGCAAATTAGCGACGTGGAGCACGAATTAAAGAGCTGTCGTGGCCGCTGTCATGCGGATAATGGTGTGGCACCGTTCAAAGCTATCAAAAAGACCAGAATAAGCAAAACTTTCAACTTGTGACTGATTTCTTGACAAAAAAGCATTTCCAGTCCTTACCTGTGTTCAAGCTGCCAGTGGTTTGTTGTGAAAAGACGATTGCTCGTCACGGAAAGGATGTGATGACGATATTCCCATGCTCGTTCCGTGGTTGGTTGATAACATCTAGCAAAAAGTGGTCCAATCCAGGATCGAACTGGAGACCTTCTGTGTTGATTACAAATGTAAGACAGAAATCATAACCACTAGACCATTGGACCAATGATAATTGGTGTACAAGGTCTGTTCAGTCGCGCAAGGCTTAGGAAAAGAGTGTGGTCCTGCATCGCGCCTCGATCGCATTCTTGTTAGTGGCTTGAATGTCTAACTTGCTCTTGACCTTGTCGAACGGACTTGCAAGGTTTCACTACAGGACCTTTTTCCTGTCTGGAATGCGACGGGAGTGTAACAACGGTTATTTTATTCAACGGGTACAGTCCTCGCTTGAGTCTAGAACGCGTTCACTCATTTCCGCGTCTTCCATGCCTCCTTATAATTAGGCTCCCCTGAAAAAGGGTGAAGACCAGTTTGTATAAGCTTTAAGGAAGAAACCTAAAGAAACAATATATATTTTAAAGCTTATAGCACCTGACAGTAGTAATCCCGCAAAGTCCAAATGAAGGGCATCTGCTTAACTTCGAGTGTTTGTTACCGAGGGACAGCTCATCGTCCTTGGTCGAGTATTCCTTTATCAGCGCGGCCCAGGCTACCTCCATCGTGTCGCGGTACACGCTGGCATTTGAAGCGAATTATTCCTGTTCATTGACATTGACATTGTCAAAATATAGCCTCACTCTGGACTCCACCGGTGAGAACAAGCTGCTTTAAATCAGAGTGTTTCAATGCGCTTCGCGTGGTTCTATTGACCAAACACTTGATTCTGGATGACCAGGTGATGCATAACAAGACTGATGATTCAGATGATGAATACAAATCCGAGTGATGACGGGACAACAAGAATCAGAATTCAAGCACAGCTGGCTATTATGACTTATCAGGAGCAGATGTGCCTGGGAACGCCGAAGTAACACCCAGCTTGTTGTTACATTTCATCCCTCAGACTTTGCCGCTTCTCAACAACTCCCATCTGAGCGGAGGAACCGTCCGAGGGTGCATCTTGTCTGCCACCACGACTTGCAAAGGAAAGGTGTTACTTTTCCCTTCTTCACCACCACTACCTCGTGGAGAGCGCCCACTGCCTAGTAACTCAGGAGCAGTTTTAAATTCTCGTCATCAGAAGACTATCCTCTCGTTTTTATCTCATCGTTGTCATTTCCTTCTTTATTGAAGCTACAATGGCCTACGAGCACGATGCACATGTCGCAAGACAAGGTATTTTCTTTTTTAGACTTATCGTAGTAGAACTAATCGCCCATATGTGTCCTTGCCAACCTCGATAACCTTCTAGATCCAACTCCAACATCTAGTGTGCTGATACCTAGCCCAACAATTGAGTTTATCTTGGATTCAGCCTCACCAACCTCATGTGCATCCTTTGGCATTAGCTGGTTTTACAACGGCGGTGATCAACCCCTGAATCTCTACATCACCAACAACAACGTACCTCAAGATCCACCACCTCAACCAGCGAGACCGCCCAACACCTTCACAAATGCAGCACGGGCAGTTCCAACTGGTGCTTTCGAACCTGTACCAATTATTACCTCACTCATAACAATTGTCGATAACCCACTCGAGCTTGGGTATGAATGGCCTGCCGTATCCGTACCACCAGGCTGGTACACCTTCAACGGCTCGATTCCGTCCTTCTCGTACTCCTCAATCTCGCGCTCATTTTATGTTTGGAGTGGTGCCGATACCTCATGCCTTGCCGTACAATCCACAACAAGCCCTATCAGCTCCACAGCATCGCCCACCCCAAGCACCACACAGGACCCTTCAGCTACTTCTTCTCCCTTACCTGTCGGAGCCTCGTCAACTACTAATATAGGAACTATTATTGGAATCAGTGTAGCCGCAGTTGTGGTCGTAGCCGGTGTGCTAGTAGCTTGGCTATGTCTTGCCAGAAGAAAACGAAAAGCTAAAGCTACTGGGGGTGAATACGCTGGCGGAATGGATCATCGCTGGAACGGCCTCAGCTCAACGGACTCGCGCAATATCCTAACCAATGGAGGTAAAAATTACACTTCCAAGTCCTCAAAACAACAGCGAACGTACAAAGGTGCACCTCAGAGCCGGGATTCATTCGGGTCAGTGATGGTGACAGATGATGGCGCATCCGGGCTGGAGAAGAACGGGAAGCAGTCGTTTGACGGATCATTGGCGCTATCATCACTCCCCGTCTTGAACCACAGCGCGAATGGTGTTGCGCAGCGTCCTCGAGGGCGTACTCATTCTCAGTCGTCTGCTGCGTCGAATTCCTATTCTGCCAATGATTTCAGCGGAAACGGGGGACGAAGGCCGTCAGCACCGGATTCTGTAGTTGGTGCTGGCAGGAGGTCCATCGACTCGAATTCTTATCCCCCTCAATCCCCATCGACTGGTGCATCATGGGCCGGCAGGCATCAATACCCTACTTCGCCTTCTGCGGACGTCTCAAGGAGTCATTCATACACCACACAACAATCGCAACCCCCTTCCGTCCGGGCCCCTCAGCTGCAGTCCAACCCCTCTCAAGGCTCATCATCCCAATCACACACTCATCAAGCATCACCAATATCTCCCGTCTCACCTTCATCATCGTCTCCTGATTCTCCGGTGGCACTGAATTCCCCTGATGCTCGTACATCAGGGAAACAGTCGAACAGGCAGTCTCTAGGCGGCAAAAAAAGAAAACCTGTGCCAGTTTACGACCCAAGTACGGACAGTGCGATGCCGTCGCCGACCGTTCCAGTTTCTTCGACTCTATACTCTACCCAACCCCAGGCAGCAGTTACATCCCCATTCTCTCCCTCGTCGTCCCCTGCGCCTGGGTCCTTCTTATCCGAATCACCGCAACCACCGCACGCTCAGATAGGTCACTACACGACCCGAAGTCAAGCAGGCAAAGATCAAAGCGTGCACTCATTGCATCATAAGAGCAGTTTTGGGCCTGGTGGGATTGATGGCAAGCCGTTGCATTATTTGATCCCAGATGTGCTGACTGGGTCTTAATGATTTGATTATGAGCTTTACTTATTTTTATCGCTCAATCATTCAATCATGCACTTGTCACTGCCCCTGTGAGACCCGTGCTCGCTAGCGGACTTGCAGTATCTGACTGCCGGGCATTTATTCCCCTTATTCTTACCCCACTTACCCCCTGTTGTGTGTTTATTTTTGCTGCCAATGCGGCGATGTTGTTGTTGCGGTTGTTGTTAATACTTTTTTATAATCTTCGCTTTCGGCGCCTTCATTCCACTTTACCCATTTACCTTCATGCTCCGGAGCTAGGTTGTGATTAAATGTTGCAGGTTTTATTTTTGTTTTGTTTCATGGACGGATGGATGGGCTTCGTAAATTGGTGGGCTAACGAACCGATGGATAGGTATCCCGAGACCCCGTGTTGACTTGAATAGCCCAACCAGGGATTCGGTTTTGCGCTTGAGGAGCCATGCTGTCGGCTGGAGGGTCCGGAATTTGTGGGTGCAGAGGGTATGGGCGCAGAGCATCACGACGCATTCGCTGCACATCATAAATCCCGAGTGAAATGTTTTTGGAACATCACTTTCGGACCAGTCGGGTATGATACACCTCATCGCACTTTTGGAGAAGATGATGCAGGATGGACACCGCCCTGCGACGATGCGCTTCGCTCGAAGCATTTTACCTTTGACTGGCGTCGCATACCATCACACACCCTGTTACCACTGCACCCTCTCGAGCCTGCATTGCCCGAGTTGTCCGATTCGCAATAACGTTCGCGTTAATACTGGCAATTGTACTCACCGACCCTTACCCTTTATGATCTCTTGTTACTTCACTAGTAAACTTATCTTTTTGATAGTTGTAAAGCAGGTTGAAAGAGACATTTGTTGCTTAGTATATTCTATGTATTTGCGCTATCCTAATTGTGTATTCAATCACCAACACCTTCAACAATCTGTATGACAATTCATTTGCTAGAAGGCTATACCACAGACAGTCAGCATCGCTGAAAAAGGTAACTACCGCCAAGTCGAGTCCTTCCTCTGCCTGGTTTTTTCCTTTCACGTTTATAACGACGGGCCACATCTATGTCTGCCTACAGCTTAAGAATTGACAATGTAGCAATAGGACCCTTTTTGCTGGCATGACGGCCTGAAGTAACGGCTATCAGGACCGGTCGACATTACTCGAGATACGCAGTATTTTACTGGCCGATAAGGAGTGAATTTCGAGTTTATTTAAATTTCTTGTGTTGGAGTGACAGCGCTGGCTCGCTGGCACCTTGACGAGCCTGAGTTTGTTTACTTATCATCCTGTGCCAAATCAAAACCAAATGTTGGACATGCAGGGACCATAGGGTTTTCGACGCTCCTTATCTCCCAACCCTCACCACGAGCTCACAGCCTAGTGCACGATTCTGCCCAAGTCTGTCTTCCTTCATTTCATTCAAGTTCACACTGCCCCACTATTCTCTACCCTTTTGCTCTATCCAAGACACTAGCGATCAATTAGCGATCACAGTTTGAAAAAATGCTGCATCTGATACCGTAGAACAATGCTTTCGAACCGCTCTGGAACACTCATGTTGTGTTCTGGTCTGGTCCATTCTCCGAGGGGGACAGGTTACAGCTGGCAGGATCTGCATAAATGGGACTTGAAATACCTGTCGACGCTAAACGAATGCTCGGTATTCTTCCTTGCTTTGACTGTCTAAAACTGCTTGAAAATAGCCTGTCTGGGGCTGTCACCCTCATAACGTTTCAACTTGTCGACGTCAAACCTTCGGCCAACAGCGAAATTCTATGAAAAACGCTGAGAACACTGAAGGAAATATCCGGCGATTCACAGGTCGGAAGATGCAATTTCCGCGAAGTCGAAGTGTTTCATGGGCACGACGACACAGGGACAACAGGGAGCCTTTTGGGGCTTATTTTGCACTTGGGTGTTTTTCATTTCGTCTTTTATGGGTGTCGACTTGCTCGACTAATCATAGTCACAGTACTCACGTACACAGCTCGCAGCAAGTGATTTTGAGTTGTAACTCACACGGACCCACAGTGATCGTAGGGTATCGAGGTCACCTGCCGTTCGTCTAGCGACTATGGGTGCTTGCTGCCACCACCTATTACCCGAC